CTCTCCCACTTTTGTTTCCAGCCTTATCTTGGCTCTAGTGACTTCCTCGAGTTTAGACTCAAGTTCGGTGATTTGTGATTTAAGATGGTCGTTTTCAGAAAGACTTTGATTAAGCTCGATAGTTATTCTCTTAAAATTTTTCCGAACCTTGCCTTTAGAAAGGGAATCAAATTTAGATAGAAACCTTTCTAAGTTTACCTCAAAATTCTCTTGGTCGGATGCTTCATCGGAGTTAGCCATGAGGCATAACCCTGCGTGATTGGAACTCTTTTCACCTTCTTCCTCATCATCATCGGATGAGTCTCCCCAAGCTGCCATCATTGCCTTCTTGAGGTCTCTGTTGAACCCTTTGTCTTCATTGGACCTCCGGTGGGAACTGGGCTTGTTCTTGTCGTAGGTTCTGTCACTTTTCTTTTGGGGACAATCTTTTGCCCTGTGCTCAAAGGAACCACAAACGAAACAACCTTGGTTATTAAAAGATTGAAAAATCTTTTTACTTTGCTTATTCCGGTTGCCCTTGAATTTCCGGTACATCTTTCCGAATTGCTTGGCAAACATGCTCATTTCGTCTTCCAATTCACTTTCGGATTCTTCTTCTTCTTCTCGAGCCTTGAGAGCCATTCCTCGCTCCTTCCTCACATTTTCAGCATCTTGTTCTTCTTGTAGGCCTAACTCATATGTCATGAGTGAACCGGTCAAGTCTTCTAGTGTCATGGTAGATCTTTAGCTTCTTCTATAGCCGTAGTTTTGGGCTTCCATGCGGAGGGCAAGTTTCTCATAACCTTTCTCACTTGATCTTCCACAGTAATATCCTTTCCAAGTGCTGAAAGCTCATTTATAATATTAGTAAAGCGTGTAATCATATCCCTAATTGACTCTTTAGGTTTCATAATGAACAATTCGTAATTATGCATAAATATGTCAATTTTGGATCTTTTTACACGCGAGGTACCCTCATGCGTAACCTCGAGTAAATCCCACATTTGTTTTGCGGATTTGCATCCAAGAACCCGGTTGTGCTTAGCCGGACCAAGTCCACAAATCAAATATTTCAATGCTTGGGCATTATGCTCGAACTTACGATAATCTTGAGCAGTAAATTCAGATTTAGGTTTAGGGACAATCTTACCTTCGGCATCCACTTTAGTGATGATTTTATCACCTACCTCAATTACGTTCCATACCTTATAGTTCTCAGCCTTGATGAAGTTCTCCATTCGACTCTTCCAGAATTGGTAAAATTTTCCGTTGAACAACGGTGGTCGTTGAGTTGAGTAACCTTCTTCCAATCGTTCAACCGTATTCATATTGCCGGATCTCTTCCCAAGGTTTTACCCTTTCTGTGGTGAAGACCGACTCTGATACCAATTGATGAAACGGTTAGCAACACAAGAGGGGGGTGAATTGTGTGTGTGTGGAACCGTGACAGATTTTTGCACAGTTCTAGTGTGGGGTTCAGGGAAATGCGAAATAGTAAAGTGCACAAGGATTTAACGAGGAAAAATCCCTTGGCTCAAAGGGATTAAAAAACCTCGACCTCCCTCGGAGGAATTTAAACAACTCCACTAAAAAGCCTTTGAATGATTACAAGGGAAACTCTTCTAGTCTACCCTTGAGCCACCCGAACTATATTCTCTCTAGAAAGAGTTATGCATCTCTACCTTGCGGGTAGAGAGCCTCTCAGCTTTACAACAAAGCTCTCACACACACGACCCCAACCCGAGGAAGCTACACTTTAGCTTTTCCTCAAAATCTAGTTACAAGATAAAGATGGGAGAAGAAACTATATCTAGAACTTCGTAAGCAGGTCCAGGTGCCTTGGTCTTGATAATACTTTGTAAGTATTTCTCTCTGCAATTGCTCGGTCAAGCACACACTTCTTCCTCTTGGTTCTCGAATATATAAGCCACCTTGATTTGTCCGTTGGTGTCTCTTTTCTTGAGTAATTGAGCTTTCATATTTGGAACTTGCCTTGATATCATTTGAATTACTTTCCTTCTAGTAGCTCAATCTTATTCGTTCTCAAATGTGAGTACATTGACTCATGATTCACGAATCATCATATAAGGGAATAAGTAGCAGCAAAATATTCATGTAATCAAATTAAATTGAGCTACATTGATTTCCATATTTCCGAGATCCTTTCTAAAAGTTTTTTTCATTTAATATTTCAATCAAGGATGATTTTACCAAGTATAGCATGCTACGGACAACTATAAATATGGCAATGTATTCATTTAGCATAAGTAGTAATTACTTATGCTCTCTAAAGTGGGTGTTTAGTCATACATGAGAGATGTGCCACGTGTAAAATAATATAGCTTCATATAAATGAAATATAGGCAAGCATAGATAAGTGAAACACTTAGTATGGATAAGTGATGAAACGGTTAGCAACACAAGAGGGAGGGTGAATTGTGTGTGTATGGAACCATGGCAGTTTTTCGCACAGTTCTAGTGTGGGGTCCAGGAAATTAATAAATAGTAAGGTGCATAAGGATTTAACGAGGAAAAATCCCTTGGCTCAAAGGGATTAAAAAAACATCGACCTCCCTCGGAGGAATTTTCAACAACTTCACTAATAAGCCTTTTGTGGTTACAAGGTAAATTCTCCTAATCTACCCTTGAGCCACCCCAACTCTATCCCCTCTAGGAAGAGTTATGCATCTCTACCTTGCGGGTAGAGAGCCACTCAGCTTTACAACAAAGCTCTCACACACACGACCCCAACCTGAGGAAGCTACCCTTAAGCTTTTCCTCAACCTTCAATTACACAACAAGTAAGATAAAAGAAACTATATCTAGAACTCTATAAGCAGGTCCAGTTGTCTTGGTCTTGATACTCTCTTATAAGTATTTCTCTCTTTTATTGTTCGGTCAAGCACACTTCATTTCTCTTTGGCTGCTTCGTTTATATAGGCTGTCTTGGGCAGACCGTTTAAGCATCCTTCCTTGAATAGTTGATCTTCTAATCTTGGAACTTGCCTCAATATTTTGAATTGCTTTCCTTCTTTATAATATTTCTCATATCCGAGCTCAATATATAAGGCAGCCGGATTAAATATCTTAATCAGGGTAGCATATCAGTCCTGGACTAAGAATAGATACAAACAGTTCATCCATCTCTTGAGTGATCAATTAATTTCCAAATAAGGCAAGCTTCGGTCAATATTCAAAAAGGTAGGAATATTTTTCTCAATATAAGCAATCAACCAATTTAGATATGGAATATATTTCAAACAACTTCTATTCTTTCACATCCGTGTAGCTAGGGAATATTTTACGTACCATACTAAGCTATATCAAGTATGGAAGGAGAATAATCACTCATATAAGGAAAGCTTAGCAATAGTAGAACAAGTAGGTGCAATCCGTATTAATTCAAATCATATTACGGATTTAGAAATGGAGCTGTATTAGTTCCTCCTGCATGGTTAGTTAATCAGATTAATAATATCCATTTGTTCTTTGTTACGCAAGGAACTGTGAGCGGTTCTATCCTCCGTTCCCCATGTATGGTTAGTCATCAACAAAACAATCATACTCAACAATAAGAATGATAATTACGAACATAACAAGATACGTTCCAATAGTAGTTCTATCCAAGGGTTCCTCCTGCATGGTCAGTTTGTTTGGACCCAAGGATAGTGTTCAATTCTGTTTAAGGTTAGTCATCAACAAAACTAAATAATCAACAAATTCCCACTTTTTGTTTATGACAAACTTTAGGTGCCGGAAACAGCAAGTCCTGCAGATTAGTGTCTAAACCAACACAACATGGTCGAAACATAGTAGTAACAGTTTTAAGTGTAGCAGTTAACCAAGTCCTGCATGGTCAGTTAAAGGAAGGAGGCACCTGATTATATCCCCCTTTTGGCATCAACCAAAAGGAAACAGAAAATAACCAAAACAATGCCGGAAAGTAAGTAAGTGTAAGTATGATATCCCACCCCAAAAACATAATATTTGAAAAATGTGTTTATGATAGCGAATTAGTCTTCATCGGATGAGGGTCTGGTTCCGGTTCCGGGCCGGGGCCGGGCGGGCTTTTTTTGCAATTAATTGGGCCCGGAACCGGCCCGGGTTGATACCGGGTCCGGGCCTAACCGGGCCGGGCCGGGCCCGATTCCATGTTTAATTTTTTTGCCTTTCTTGTTATCCCCCGACCCCCCCCCCCCTCACCCCCTACCCCCAAACCTCCCCAAAACACCCAGCCCTACCCTAGGAAAAGAAAAAAATTGAAAAAAAAAATTAAACCGGGCCTGGCCGGAACCACCTGAGCTGGTTCAACAAAAGTTGGCCCCGGGAGCCTGGCCCATTCAAACAGGCTAAAAACCAGGAACCGGCCAACCGGTCCTGGTCCGGGCCAGCACAGTAACGGGCCGAGGCGACCCGGTTTAGTCCATCCCTATGTGACGGCAAATAGTGGAAGCGGGGGCATCTATGCTTAGGAACTGGAGAGCGGCTAGGATTTCCAGGGGGCAAGTGAGAAGGGAGAAGGTGGTACTAAATGGCAACGGTCCGGTGAAGGAGCGGTCAAAATTATTGTTGATGTGGCTATTGACACAAGCAGAGGTACCCGGGCTTGGGTTGCGAGAGATAAGATGGGATAGTTCATGTAGGCAAAGAAACATTATCTTGGGTCAAAACACATCAATGGTCAAAGGTGCAAGTTGAAACAGATTCCCTGATGGTAGCATCGAGAATTACAAACAGAGAGGGCGAGTCTTACTTTGACTCGATTCTTGACAACATAAGACACATTCTTCAAAATGAACTTGAGGTAGAAATCATCTATTGTAGAAGATCCACGGATAGCGTGACTCATGCTCTAGCAAAGGCCACACTTTCTATTATGGATAGTTGTTTTTTCGATTCTGCGTAATTGCATTGTACTCCAATTGGAAAATGATTTATTGCAGTAATATATTATCAATTTCCTGTAAAAAAAATTATTTCTATTATGATAATATCTTTAATCATTTATAAGGAATCAACACCCAATATTTGGCTACTTGCAATGTCTGAAATGGAGACTAATTAAAATGAGAAACTTGTCTATTTATACATCCTGCAAAAAATAGGGTACATATACTAATTTCTACGTGTTAGAGGACGAGGTTTTTACATCTTTGCTCATATTCACAATCAAATTCTGGGCCCTTTCTCTTTATGTACAATATAATAATCTCCAACCCATTATGAATTGGTTAGTTAGTAGGATGAAACTCTGATATGTAGTCCATTTGGTGCTTCAACTCTAGGAAATTTCATCAATTTATCCCCTCCTACTTCTTCCCATCTGCATTCCAAATTCAGGAAAAGAATTAGAAACACAAATAGAATATTATCCCAAATCAACCCTGAAATTAACCATATTCCATCCACCATATGAAACAATGATTTGCAGTTAATGCCTTATTATCTAGCTTTGAGATGATGTTTTGATAAGACAGCCAAAATTTTACATGTCAGTTTATTAGAAGTACTTTATAACTTTATACGGAGTATTTAACTAGGTAAATAGTTGAACATGTCCCACAAGCAAAAACATGACATGACTACAAATTGAAGAGGAGAAATGAATTCTAAAAAAAGTGTGGGACAAATACTTCAATTATACTCCCTCCGTCCCAGAATTATCTTCATTCTTTTCTTTTCGATTCATCCTAAATTTATCTCCTTTTTCTCTTTTTGGTAAAGAATATGTGGCTCACAACCATTCTTACACATTTCTCTCTCCTCTGCATAACTCTCCACCACACAAATCCCACTATCTTAAAACCCGTGCCCGGTCAAAACCGGAGTTAAATATGGGACGGAGGGAGTATTAAATATGAATATTCTATTGGTCAAATACTCTTATTGTACACATTCAGTGGCTAATGATCACATGTCCAACTAATTTTCACCAAATAAACCTGAAAATGTCACATGTAATAAGTGTGTGCTAGTATTAATCTCAAATGATAGTGAATAGTAGTGTGTATTTACCTGTATCTAGTTACAAAATAGTGGAGAAATGTTGAGATTTCAGCTATCCCAAGCTCTTTCCCAGGACACTGCCTAGTCCCCCCTCCAAACATCAAGAAATGATTTTGGTTGTCTGTGCTCTTATCCTGCATTTATTTATTTATTTATTTATTTAGTAAAACCCAATATTTCTATGTTACTTTTGTAAAAAAAACCAATAAATAAGGTTGGTAAACCAGGGCAAATTACTGACCAGCCATCTCCATGGATTGAAAGTATATGGATCAGGATATAGTCCAGGATCATAATTGACCTCTCTTGTGTACACGTATATCCTCCATCCTTTGGGAATGATATAACCTGCAGATACAAAAGGATAAGGTGAGGCCTATAGTATAATATAATTTTTTTTCTTCCCTTAATCATGCAACTTCTCTCTCTTTCCCCCTCTCAGCCTTGTTAGATGCACTAATCTAAATTTGGGTGTTCTTGTTTGTGTTTCTGTTGTGTAATAATGATTAAGGAACAAAGTTAGACAGGAAGGCAAACACATGGGGTGTATAGGCAGGCTGGAATGGTAGGTAAGCCATGTGAATGGAAGATAAAGAGAGGGTCCATTGTTTGGGAAGATTATCTCTATTTTAACTCATTCCCCCATCAGATGCTTTGTGCTATGTATGTATGTTCCTGCACATTTTACTCATGTGGTAAATAATGAATGTTTCTTGTTTTGTGTTTGAGAAAGGAAAATAGGAGCACAAACTATAGTTTTCCCTCAATAGGAGGAAGTAATTAAATTCTGAAAACATATTGACCATATTGATATCATAATGCTAAAATAGGGCATTATAACTTCACAAGTTATACTGTTTTTTTACTCCTATTTGAGCATATATAATATGGTGAAAGAAATTAATTAATGGACCTAAAAAGAAAATGGGTCGCTGCTTTTATGGAGGCCCAGGGCTGTACCCACTCAGGTCCGGGCTTAAAAAAAGATACACGTGCTATATCAAATCGCAGAAGATGTTCAAATTCAATGTCTCCACTCTCCATGAGTAAGGTATGAGGGGGGCTAAATGATGATTCTTAAAGAATTGGGGGACCGAATTGACCAAATTTACCATTAGTACATTTTGAGGGTCTAAAATAGTAATTTCCCATTTTTTCTTTAAAAACAATTTTGATTTACAAAAAAACCGCCCTATTACATATTAGCCCCAAACTAGACTTTAGACTAGTTGATTATAGTTGTTGAACATAATTGATCCTCACCATTAAGTTCAATATCTTTAGTGGTTTTCCTCAGGACTCCATTTACTATTGTGGCTAATCTTGAAGTTTCAAAGATCACCTGCATCATTAAAATCACAGATGTATAAGATTACATGAAACTATAAAATGGTAAAAGTTCAGGATACAAATTTTGCTAAAATAATATTCAACTTACAGCACGAGTGAACCGCATTGATTTGAAGTCATTGTAATCAATCGCATCATTAGGCGCTTTCTTTTCTCTTATGGCAATATGTTCTTTCTGTGAAATTTCAATTCAAAATTATTAAAACAATCATCATCAGCGATAAGCCGATAGTAAGCAGTAATGTGTCATTTAATCAAACTTACTCTTAGCTCATCAAGAACTTTAGGGTGATCACTGAGATACTTGACAGCCATCATTGAGGTAGTGGAAACAGTTTCATACCCAGAGTACAAAAGTGTTATAATTAAATCAATCATTTCATCGTCATTTAGCATATATCGATTCTGTTCTTCATTCATCAAGAATCCAAGCATGTCTTCGTGTTTTCCCCCGCACTCTCTTCTCTGTTCTATGAGTTTTCTCAGTAGCCTGACAATGTTCTTTCTTGCCTGCAACCCGTGCTGGTAGTTTGTGTTTGGGAGGTTGATTGGAAGCGAAAGTGTCCCGAGTACAAGCTTAAAGAAGTCTGGCATGAACTCTTCAGCTATGGAGGTAGATTCAATGCCAGCAATTTGCTTCAATGATGATAGAAATGCCATCTGGAATGTTTTTTTTAATATTGATTAGTATGTAGAAGAATGTTTCACATCTCTTAAATATGAAGGAATATACTTCTTAATAATAGTCTAGAGTGTGGTGTTTGGGCCTGAGGAATGTCTGCTCCTATCAAGAATATGACACTACCCAAATGAATTGAAGATGTTTGCAGTGATGGTGTTTTGATCAAACTGTACTACTGTAGTTATGATGTGAATTTATAAGTTGTTTTGAGGTGAAATTAAGTTCTTCCAAATTTAATTTTGAGTATATGTCTTTACTGTTTCATGTGTCAAATAAAATATGACTGAAGTTGAATCACAAATCAAATAACTCAAATAAGAAAGTAAAAGCTGATTGGTTGAAATTGTTATGAATAGAGAGAATTACTTTAATCATATAATGATTGATTTGAATAAAATGAATATTTTTAAGACAATTAAATAAAGAAAGTTGGCAAAGCTTTTGTGAGAGGGGTATTTTGTTTTTTTTTACCCTTTTTAGTAAAAATTGAGATGAATAAAGATAGAAGTTTCACCATAGAAACGTCTGAAGTTAACTTTCACCTGAACAATTTTAATTGTACTTAGGTTTGCCAATAGTGATATCTAACAACATATATTCAATCATATCTATTGATCCTAGGTCCATTTGACTTTCAGATTCACTTAAATTCACTCTAATCAATGGCCATGTGCCAGTTTAGAAAGGAGCATTCTCATAAGGATTTGCGAATTTAATTAGTGAATAAGAAATTCCTAAACCAATACTAAATGATAACTCATTGAAGAAAAATGTAACTTTTTAATGAAAAATCTTATTAAGAAAATAAAAGCCAACTAACATTGACCAATTTCCAAGGAAAAGTGGTAAGTAAGTGTTGGTAACTTCCTAAGTCGAACTTATGTGATGACATTAGTGAGTACAGTGCTACTTCAGTCCCAAAATCCGAAATGATGGGGCTATATTTTTTGGATTCAAAAATTAAGAGTATTTTTACTTTATTGTATTGTTCACTTTTATTTTTAATATTCCTAAAAAAGAGGGGAGTATTATTTTGGTTCTATAAATGATAATCTACTTTGGTTTGTTTACGAAAATGAAAAATGAACTATCATTTTAGTACAACTCAATTAGAAAATATAGGATAATCATTTTGAGACCGGGTTATAACGGTCTTTACTCAAAAATATTTTTAGTCAATGTGTAATAAAAGTGGAAGGATGAATAACTAACTACAAACCTTGTTAGTCTTTTCTTGAATATCAATCACTTTGCCATCCCAAGAGGGGCTAACATGGGATCTCATGAGATCATCAATTTTAGGTAAGAGGTGGGATTTGATCATGGAAGGGCTGATGAGTGACAATAATGCCCCTCTCATGTGCTTATGTGCAGAGCCATGAACTGCAGCAATATTGCATTTGCCCAGAATGTCCAGCATGGATTGCGGGTAGCCCGGAACCAGCCCCTTTGCCTCATTCACAAGTATGTATCTGTTCACCTCTGGATCCATTGAAACAATTGTTGGGCAGCCCAGAATGTGTGATTTAAAGAAACTCCCATATCTGGATATTGTCACAAAGGTTATTATTAGGTTTAGACATACATTAAGTATACGTTTGATAAAAGTGATTTGACTAAAATTAATTAATTCATTAAAATTTCTCGAAATCTTAAGGAGTGATATCTGTTTCAATCAGATGATTCCCCGGTCTCATATAGCTCTAAAAATTGTGACTTTTAGATTGATAATAATTGATTTTGTCAGTAATTGGCAAACATAATATAATGGTTCCTAGGTATTAACCAGCAACAGTGAAGCAGATCATTCTGAAAATGGATAGAGTAAAAGTTACCAAGTACAAAAGCCTCTTCTTTTGATCATTTGCATAAGTAAAACGTCTCCAATTTGGTTACCAAACAAATTCCAACTCGTTTTTACTTGTTCCACTTCCTATTTTGCACTTCTTGCCCATCCCAAAATTGTTTTCACTTCAAATTTTCTAATTAACATAGGTCTTGTTTGTTGTACAAGAACTCGATTTTTGAGACTTTTAATGAAGTTTCTTACTTTTAGTGAATATTAGCAAAAAAGATTTAATTTTTAAACTAAAAATAGCAATTGACATATAGAGTAACACTTGTTTGGTGTGGAAACAACAATTATTCTAACCTTTTCGTCCTTGTTTCACCTCTTTCATTACTTTTCACTTTACCACATCTCTACAATTTTACTTTTAGTTTTGGAAAAAGAAAACTAATGAAGGTAGTGAATGGAGAGAGTAATAGAGCAAAAAGTTGATGAAATAACCTGGCCCTCTGGTTCTTCATGAAGATGGGGCCTTGTTTCAAGAAACCAGTGGTTTCACCAAAAAGTGGCCAACCCATGGTCCCTGGAGGCAGCCCTTTCTTCTTGAACCTCAACTCGTTCCATCTCAAAAGGGCACTGCTGAGGAAGCAGAGGGCAAAGACAGGGAGTAGAAGAGCCCAGAGGACATCCATTAATGGGTGAGCAAGAAAGAAGGTTCTGAGAGAGAGGGATGGGCAGTATGGGGTTTTCGGTATTGAAGTCATCATGATTCAAGTGCGTGCGGTTGTTTATATAGAGGGGAATTCCCCGATGAGGGTAGCCAGTCGTGTGCAGGGTGGGCTTTGGGGCCTAATAAGCCAATATAATATGCCATACAATTGGGGGTCTCACTGTCTTACACTAATAATACTGGAGAGATGATCCTTCCCAAACTCTTCTTTAAAGGGTATCAATAAATTTATACGTACGAGTAGTATATTACTCCTTCCGTCCCCGAATTATCTTCATACTTTCCTTTTCTGTCTGTCCCAAATTTATCTTCTTTTTCCCTTTTTAGCAAAGAATTTGTGGTTCACAACCATTCTTACACATTTCTCTTTCCTCTGCAAAACTCTCCACCACACATTTCCCACTATCATCTGTGTGCCATTTGTACTTCAGGAGATAAATATGGGACGGAGGGAGTACTACGTAATATAAATTCATCTTAAAACTTTGCAAAAGTTCACCTGCACAGAAAATAATAAAGTAAAAACTGTGTGGTTGAGGTTTCTGCAGAGGAGAGAGAAATATCAGAAACCACAAAATAATTGATTAAAAGGGAAAGTGATAAAGTTTTTTGGATCGTCTCAAAAAGGAAATGTGGCAAAGTTTTAAGGGACGGAGGGAGTGTATTTTTCTTCGGTCTTTTTTAATTGCAACGGCCTACTTTTCACCTTTGTCAACACAAAAGTTTGATCATTAATATCTTTTATTCATTATTGTAGAAAAAATTATAAAATTCATATTTTGAAAACTTAAAATGAGAGGAATTTAAAAATATTTTTATAAATATACTCCGTAATTTATTATACATTAATAAATAAAATACAGTAAAAGTATGATATGTGAATAGTGCAAAAAATCAGATGTTGCAATTAAAAGAGAACATATGTACTGTCATTAAAATGTATAATACGGAGTAAAATATATTTTAATGTTGCAATTAAAATATAGGATTTTATATTACATCTCCTACATTTGCCAGCTTCTGATTAAAATCCAATTTACATCCTCTTATCTAACTGTTCGATCGGTGTTGGGGGTCTTCAAAGATGGGGTGTCATCCTTTCCTACATTTACTTTTTTGAAAAGTATTGTCATTTTTACGAAGAATCACTTCATGATAATATTCTCTCCGTCCCGAAAAGGTTGGCCAAATGACAATACTTTTCATTTCGTTTCCTCTGCACAAATTTCAACCACACAGTTTTTATTTTATTAATCCACGTAAATCAACTTTGGCCAACCTTTTCGGGACAGGGGGAGTAATTTACTTCAATTAATTACTACCTTCGTCCCTAAATTTACTTCCGTAGTACAAATGGCACACGGATTAAGAAAGTGGGTTTTGTGTGGTGGAGAGTTATGCAGAGGAGAAAAAAATGTGTAAGAATTGTCGTGAACCACGAATTCTTTGTCAAAAAAGGAGAGTGAAGTTCTTTTTTGGACGAACGAAAAAAGAAAGTTCGAAGTATTTTCAAGGACGGAGTGAGTAGTTAGAAACAAACTCCCTCCGTCCCTTAAAACTTTGCTAACTTTCCTTTTTTGGACGTCTTACTAACTTTGCCACTTTCCTTTTTAAGTAAAGAATTTGCGGTTCCAGTTAATTCTCTCTCCTCTACACAAATATCTACCACACAATTTTTACTTTATTAATTTTCGTGATGGTCAAATTTGACAAAGTTTTAAGAGACGGAGGTAGTACAATGGTACTTTTATCTTGGAAAACAGAAAATAGACCAAAAGATAATAATTGGGTGATATAGAAAATGTAAGGACACAGTATTACCCATTATTGTACGGAGTACTACGTATTCAAGAAGAGAATAGACAAAAAATGGATGAGTCTATACTTTCATAGACTCCGCTTGAAGTGGTATTTCTGGGTTATCAAAATGCTACATTTTCCGCTCATTTCAACTTTCTTAGCTCAATTTATATTATTGCACTTAATTTTTGTCTTATTTTACTTTTTTTAGTTAGTCACACTAAAGTTGTCTCACTGTAAAATTTGAATGAGTATAATTCATTCTTGGTGGATTGCCGTATGTATGTGTATGTAAGGTGTGTGGCTATATTATGTCTAGAAGCATGTGATCTCTTTTAGTATTGAGTTGCTGAAATTACGTTCCTTGATAGCCTACAACTAGTACTATTAATTTAATATCAATCACATAATTTCATTTTTTTTGAATAATTTCATCGCTCCATTTTGTCCCAAAGTTAGGGAGGCTATGCTAGCTAGAAATTCTATTGAATCTCGAAATTTGTATGGGAGATTTCCCAAAATAGGAGTGAATAAAGTTTGAAATTCCAAAATAGGATTACTTTTATTTTTATTCTCGAAATGAGACTAACATGGCAGTATTTACTGTCATCTTGTAACCGTGACTGCCAAATAGTTGCAGTACAGTGCATTTAACATGACAGTATTTATTATAATTAATGACAATATTTTTTAATTGTGGCATTATTTTTCATACATGACAGTAATAACTCCTATTTGGAGAAGAAAAACATACTTGTCCTATTTTGGAATTCCAAATGTCATTTGCTCCTATTTTGGGTAATTTCCCAATTTGTATTTAAATATGATAAAAATTAGGGAAATTGTCGATTGTTAAAAAGATGAGTAATTCTTGTTGCACACAGAATTTATACACTTTTTGTTCACATGTTTGTCTACACAGACAATTGCATATAGTTATTATTTTTTTTAAACGAGCTGCTTGTGTAGACAAGTATTAAGGGTGTACAAGACATGTACAAATTTTATATGGAAATAGATTTTTTGTAAACATAGTAGTATAGTACAATTGATTGAAGTAATAATCCATAAGAGAGTAAGAACCCGTTTCGTGACTTTGTTAGTTTGTTTATTGGCTTAACAGGCTTATCGACCAACTTTTTAACCAGACATGTAACTTTTTATTTCGCTCAATAAATTGTGTAATAATTAGAAAAGGTAAGACTGACGTTACTTTTCTGACTGTATTGGCTGAAGTTACAGTAAATGATCATTTTAGCTATTTTTCATATAATTTTTTCTTTATTTTAGTAATAAACCATATATTTTAGAATGTAATTTTTCACAAATCAACGTAATTAGCCAATATAGTCACTTCAACCAGAATTTCATAAATTTTAGCAGAATCAACCTATTCAACCAATTTCAGTGTTACCAAACGCACTCTAAAAGAGCTCATCATCCATTTTTTCTGGGGGAGAAAAAGCTTTAATGTCTTTTTCAATTCTCTTGCCTATCAAATTGGTCATTTCTCGTGTCCACCAAATCAGTCATTTTATCGTATTTCTCTTCCTTCTATTTATATCAACCCTATGATATCCAAAAACCCTACTCACAAAGGCGTATTTCTAGGGTGCTTTTCAATTTCATATAGAATTTCTCGGTTTTAATCTCTTTTAGTTTAGTTCTTCGTAATATTTATATTAATTAATATTAATATTTTCATTGAAACAAGACCGATTGCACGCTTTTATCTTATTTATTTATTTTCATATCTAGATAGATTAAGTATTTAGTTAGATATGAAACAAGTATTTTTAGCAAACAAAAATTAGCCAATGAGGAAATTAAATTGAGTGGACAAGAAAGTGTTACTTATGGGCAAGGGATGGTGTGTGGGGATGTTGATTGTGACACTAAACAACCGGGAAGTGTTGTACAAAATGAGTTTGCTAGCTCTAAAAAATAGAAATAGATTTTTCTGCTTTAACAATTATATAGAAATAGATTTTTAGGCTATCTATTGGTTTTGGAAAATGCAAGGAAAGACCACTATTTTAGTAGTGAGTTGTTTGTTTGATAATGCATGTGTTTTTCCTACTTAAGCAAGTGTTTGATATTTTAGTGTGTTATTATTGCGGCAGGCAGTTTCTTATTATTTTCTTTAGTCGCTGTTTGATACCTTTAATCCGTGAAATGTGTTTGATTTGCTTTATTTTTGAAGTCTTGTGGTTATTTATTTTCAATATTTTCATTGTTTGCTTAATCATTTTTTCTTTTTAATATTTTCATTGCTTGCTTAATCATTTTCAAATATTTTTAATATTTTCATTGCTTGCTTAATCATTTTTTAAGTATTAAAATTATTTTTAGATTTTTCCAACAGACGCCACAATATCAAATTTATAGCTTCAGTTTTAGTTACTCTGCTCAATGACATTAACATGTTAACTCGCGATAATGACAGAGGGATTTATGATTTTTTCTTATATATATTGCACCTTTTTTGAGAAAAAAATGATAGTAAATTATGATTAGGATTTTAATACCCCTATGTCCCATTTTACATGTCCTACTTTTCTTTTTGGATTATTGTTTCAAAACAAGTAAAATGATTGTTTACAGTAATTTCAGCCAATACAGTCAGAAAAGTAATTTCAACCTTACTTTTTCTTATTATTGCACAATTCAGCGCACAAAATCAATAGTTACGTGTTTGGTTAAAAAGTTGACTGATAAACATGATAAGCCGAAAAACAAAGTTACCAAACTAAATCTAAATCTGTTAAGCTTGATTTTTTAAATCTTTCGACATTTTCTTTTAGTCGTTTCTTCAAAATTTTACCTATATTTATCTGTCTATTTTATTACCGATCCCTTGCATTATCTATATATATTCTGGACCTACGGACCCTTGGCAATTCGCTGATTCCTATAATAAAGAATAATGTGCAAAAAGCCTAGCTAGGCCATGGCATTAAACTAATGAAAAAATGTTGCACAAGTGGAATGAAGCGTAAATTAAAAAAACGAGCCAGAATCTGCAAGACATTTTTAAAGATCATTATTGATATATAAATATATATATATATTATTTTAAGAAATATGAGTTAAAAATGATTGTTATAATATTGAGGATAAAAGATATCAAATGCAATATAAAATAACAGTATATTTTGTGTACGTGCAACTCAAAAAGTTACAAAAAATCACCACCAGACATCTTTGGTTACCATGTGAAGAGGTGGGGAAGGGATGAGATAATTTTGGTTTTATCTTCATGGTAAGGTTGGAAATATC